CCGCCCGGGCCCCCGCAGCCGCCCCTCGACCTCTGCCTGAAAAAGGGGGAGTTCTCCCTCTACCCAGCGGGGCACTATCAGACGCCCCTGGGGTACGAACGGATAACGACATTCGACAGCAGCGGGAACGTGGAGGAGGTGTGCCGGCCTCGCACCAGGATGCTCTGTGCCCAGAGCACCTACACCCTGCCGGGGCCTGGCAGCTCCGCCACCTTGCGCATCACCGCCGCTGAGAAGAAGATGCAGCAGCCCTGCACCAGCGCCACCCTGAACCGGCTCACGGTCCCCCGTTACTCCATCCCAACCGGGGACCCGCCGCCCTACCCTGACATCGCCAGCCAGCTGTCCCAAGGCAGAAGCATTGCACAGAGGCTGGACAGCAGTATCATTCATGCAACTCTGCGGAGGAACAGCAGAGAGGCCGCCCTGAAAATGGCTCAGCTGGTGGACGGTCAGAGAGCCACCTTGCAACTTCCTCCGAAAGCCAAGAGCAGCGTTGTGACGGCACAGTACCAGCAGAGAGTACCCACCGCCTTGTACACCTGCAGCCAATGCAGCAGCAGTGGTGGTGGCAGCAATGTGAGCACTGGTGGTGTGAGCAACATCACTAGTGCCAATGCTAGTAGCAGCACTTCCAGTATTGGTGGCATGAGACCTGATCTGAGCACGGGGAGTGGCTCCCAGCACAGCTCTGTCATTGCTCACTCTGTCAGTACTTCGCCTCTGGCCTCCCAGTCCTCCTACAGCTTGCTGAGCCCACCTGACAATTCCCGTGACCGAGCGGATTATATCAACTCTGCGTTTACGGAGGATGAGACCCTCTCTCAGCACTGTCCAGTGGAGAAATCAATACGGCACGTACCCGTGGCCTTGACGGAGGCTGCCCTCAGTGTAAAACGACCACCACCATACCAGTGGGACCCTATGGTGAGTGAAGAGATATGGGTTCCTCAGGAAAGGACATCTCAGAGCTCGGTGCCCAACCCTCTAAAACCTGCTCCTCTCATCATTGGTCAAGCTCAACATCTGGATATGTCTCGAGTGCCGTTTGTTTCCCCGAAGTCTCCAACCAGTCCTACTGCCACTTTCCAGACGAGTTACGGGGTTGGAGTACCTTACCCAGGAAGCTACAGTGCCCCTCCCCTTCAGGGAATGCAACCCCCCTGCTCCCCCAAAGAAGCTCTGGCCCCAACACAGTTTGCACAGCAGGAGCCCACAGTTGTGCTTCAGCCAGGTTATCCATCCAACCTCTCCTATTGCCCTTTGCCACCCATGTACCCAGGAAGTAGCGCCTGCTCTAGTTTACAGCTGCCACCGATCGCCTTGCACCCATGGAGCTCCTACAGCACCTGCCCACCTGTACAGAACCCCCAGGGTACATTGCCCCCCAAGCCGCTCCTCGTGGTGGAGAAGCCGGTGATGTCTCCCCCGCCGGCAGAGCTGCAGGGCCATGTGGGCACAGAAGTAATGGTGGAGACAGCAGACACCTTCCAGGAGGTGCTCTCCTTGACAGAAAGCCCCGTTCCTCAAAGGACGGACAAATTCGGCAAGAAGAGCCGCAAGCGCCTGGACAGTCGAGCTGAGGAAGGAAACGTGCAGGCTATCACTGAGGGCAAGGTCAAAAAGGAGGCAAGGACACTGACTGATTTCAATTCGCTGATATCTAGCCCTCGGCTGGGGAGGGAGAAGAAGAAAGTCAAGAGCCAGAAAGACCAGCTGAAGTCCAAGAAGCTAAACAAGACAAACGAGTTTCAGGACAGTTCGGAGAGTGAGCCAGAGCTTTTTATCAGTGGGGATGAACTTATGAACCAGAGCCAGGGCAGCAAAAAGGGTTGGAAAACGAAAAGGAGTTTGAGGACAGCCAGTGAGCTGGATGAATTCAAGTGCCGGAAGGCCAGCGAGAAAGAGGATGGGAGGCTGGGGAGCCAGGGCTTTGTGTACGTGATGGCCAACAAGCAGCCGCTGTGGAACGAGGCGACACAAGTCTACCAGCTGGACTTCGGAGGGCGGGTGACCCAGGAGTCGGCAAAAAACTTCCAGATTGAGCTGGAAGGACGACAGGTAGGAGGGGGCAGCACATGCGGGCTGGGGTAGGAAATGGGTATTGGGAAAGTCGCGCCAGAAATAAGCTCTGCCTCTCACACAGCTTCTTGCTTGTGTTACCTGCTCTGTGAAAAAAAAAGCTTTGCCACATGGTTGATAAAAGTCAACTGTCCATCAAAGGTATAGATTCAGAATGGAGGGTGAGGTTCAGTTTTAAAGTAAACGTACAAAATATGTTTGGTCTTACTCCAGTCGGACAGAGGAATAAGGGCCTCCTTTAGTCTCACTGGCTGTCACTGCTGAAGGTAGGTGGGTTTTGTAATAAACACAGCAGGTCTCCCCAACGGTAGCTGCATTTGCTGTCAGTGGTTGCAGATGGCAGCTAGCTGAGTGAATGCTGCGCCCTTCTTGCAATGCTCAGAAAGGTTAGCCAGTCAGCAGATAGCTAAGGTGGAGAAGATGGGTGGGCAGTTAGGTTCCTTCCGTGCCAAAATTTCCCCTTGTGGGCTACCAGGCCTCTTAAGCTGGTTCTTAATCCTAGAGAAGGGATGCACTGACCCTCCCCAGAATGAAGTGCTCCTGGGCTGCTTCTGAACCACCTGTGGGTAGAAGGGTCTGTGGATAGTTCAAAAAACCAAAACATTTAATTTTAGGCTCTCTCACCTTGGCCCGAGTGGGATGTTACTACACCAAACCCACGCTATTAAGTGGTACCAATCAGCAGGACACTGGACTGAGACTCGGGAGACATATATTTGTTTCCTTGTCCAGCTGTCCCATCTCTGTAAGTCACTTTTGATTTTTTTAAAGACATCAAGGCTCTCAACTCCCTCTGATTTAACTTGGGAGTTAGATGTATTAAATATCCAACATGCGGTAGTCTGTTGGTTTTGTTTGTCTGTAACAATAGGTCATTAAAAAGGCAGTGATCAGAGCCATTTATATCTTCTTCAGTTAAATGGCTGTGGATACGTGCCTGTGGACAGCTGTACAAAATCACCTGGCAGCAGGTTTTGTTGGTGGGGCAACAAAGCCTGACCTGGCTTGCGGAGACAGCCTCCATTCTACCTCGAGGGACTTCCCTGTAGAGCAAATAGGATCTGGGTTTCTGATGAAGTGAATGAAAAAGCAGTAATAATAGGCCAAACTTTGGATATTCCCTGCGGAAGAATAATGAACAACCTGACTAGCCTTGCTTTACATTTCAAACAGCTCCCACTGCCCCTTTGCTAATTCGTTCTTGGTGTAATTATGTGCTAATGAAGTTCATGCAAAGGAAAACAGAACTGCCAGGAACATACAGCTTACCAGCTCTGAAGTGCTAGTTTCAGGAGATTGGTTATTCCCCTTCCCTCAAAGCTCCTTTCTTTGAAAACAAAATCTGTTTTCCTGGTGGGCTGATGATAGGATCTCTGCAAGGGAGAGAACAGTGTTTTCCTGCGGGAAACATGGTGGTGGTCTAACCCACATCTGCTGAAGTAATCGGTGACAATCTGCTTACACCAATGCTGTATACACTCTAGCATGTTTTAAAGCTCAGTTTACTCTATAGACTCAAATAGTGCGGTCAAATACTCTATACAGACAAATAGTACAGTGCTCTTACTCTTCTTTGGCACCATACCCCACTCTGTGAGTAGCCCCATTCCTATTAGCTCAGGTGGTGATGAGGTGTTCTTAAAAAAGAAGCAAAAACGTTTTGCCTTTATTCTTCTCTGGTTCCTTTTCTGTGGTTCGCTTTTTTTTGACCTTGTTCTCTTTTTCCTTTCCTTCTCCTCTTCCCGTGCTTCCCAGGTGATGCAGTTTGGAAGGATTGATGGCAATGCTTACATTTTGGACTTTCAGTACCCATTTTCTGCAGTGCAAGCCTTTGCTGTTGCTCTGGCTAATGTGACTCAACGCCTCAAATGAACAAGCAGAGACTGGAGAGAGGAAAATGTTAACCTTCTCATAAAGTCCAAACCGGAAAATGTCAGGGCAGCCTGCTTTAGGTGTGCAGCGGTGCCTGGGAGCGAAGAAGGCAGTAAAACTGGAATAGTCTCTTGGTGCCCAACAGAAGGGCATTAACTCTAATCGGTCATGGGGTGGAGGGTGGGGGGCTGTTTTCTGTTTTGTTTGTTTGTTCGTTCGTTTTTTTCAGGTGTCTTTTTTTTCTTTTTAAGCGTATTGCTGGGTCTCAGAAAGAGCAAAGGGTTGAGAGCCGTTCAGTGTTACATGGAGAAGTGTGGCTTTTGGCTTGTTGTGGTGGTTCTGCCGTGTTTGCTACAGTAGCTGGTGTAAGCTCATAGGGGGATTAAAAAAGACTGCTCTTTTTGATAGACTGCCTTCTATCATGCTGTTCTTTTTAAAACAGGGAACATAACTTTTTTTCTGGTCCAGTTTGTACTACTACTACTACAACGTCAGTGATAGCAGCAAAAAAAAAGAAGCTATAATACTTGAAGACACGTGTTTCTTCTCTGATCTCTGATAATAAATGAGCACCACAAGTTCCAAGGAGACTTATCTAGGTCAATGTTTAATTTAGAAATAATGATGTATTATTCAAAAAAGAAACAAAATTGTTGCCAATGGGTGGTTTTAAAACCCACTATATCAAGGAAGTTGATGTCTGCTTGTTTTGTGTGCTGTTATTGGGGATAAACATCTTTCAGTAGGCGACAGAAGATAGAGGAGGAAATAATTACAAGCATTGCTTCTTTTGTTATTGGGGATAACCATCTTTCAGTAGGTGACAGAAAATAGGGGAGGAAATAATTATGAGCATTGCTTCTTTGCTCGTATTGATCAGCAGTATTCTGTGGTTTGGCCTGTAGTTGGGAGAGGTACAGTGTGGCCGGATCTACCTCCAAGGCCATGCCTGTCCATGCTCCTCATTTAAATGTGTTTACACTTTATAAACAAAGTCAAGCGAATGAGAAGGGCCGGTGTATTCAGTTTTAGCAATCAGTGTGAATTAAGTTCTACAACAGTGTATCAGTGCTTGAATTAGGAAGGAGACAGAAGATAGCAAGTCATTACAGGGAGCAATTTCATCAGGAAAGCAATTTCATTACAGGAAACAACATCATGGATGTCTGCAGAACAAATGAGTTGAAAGAGGAAGGAAAAATTGGACAGAATCATCCCTTTTATCACTTAGCTACTTGAGTAGCCTTTGTGACTATGGTTTGAGAGTATAATGCTCCAGCTAAGAGCGAGAAGCCAAAGTTTACATGGAGTGTTACAGAGGAAGGGTTAATAACCATAGGATGACTCTCTGTGGTTCTTTCTGGTGGACATGCAGACCTGTTGAGCAGTTCAGGAGGGTTGCTTGCACAGAAGAATTTCTGTGTTGTCCATGTGTTGTGCACATATTTATTTGCTTTCTCTCTTTCCTCCTTGCCTGCGTTTTGCTACGGAATATGTTTTGATGTGGAAGGAGTTTCCCCAGTAATACACAACCCCCAAAACTATTCATGTAATAGTAACTCTTTTGAAGTGAAAGGCACACTGAGAAAGTTATGTTGGTTGAGGTGTTTATGGCTGCTTTGTCTTTGTCTTTCATCCACAGTTTCACTTCTTACTTGAAAAACTCAGTATAACTTAAGGTGAATAGGCTCTCTGCTTTTCTTAAATCCTAATGGCAGGGCGGATGTGTGTTGCATTTGATTCATTCTAGAGGAACATATCGCATAAGATAAGATCCTGCTGTAGCAGAAGCTGCCAATGTGCAGTGAGCTTATAACTTCTGTTCTGCTGAGGCTACTAGAGCTGTACAGCACAGAGGGAGGGAGCAATGCCAGTCAGAGAGGAGTTTCAGAGAGTTGCCAAGGGAGCTGACAAGGCAGATAATCCATAGGTAATGTCCTGCAGGGTAAATACAGGAAAAAAACACCTGCAAGATGGTTTCCATGGGAGGGGAAGCAGAGGCAGGAAGGAAGGAGGGGGGAAGTAGATGGTACCATGCCTGCATTATCCCAAAGCTCAGCAGCTTCTGCTTGCATGTGGGAGTGGTCAGGCACAACATTCCCCTTGGCATCTATGTTGTTTGCTTTGATTGATTAATTTTGTTTAATGTCCATCAGTTTTCTGGGCCCATTTGTATTCTTTCTCACGTGCGTGATTTATTCAGCAGTTCGAGTGCCTGCGTTTATAATGAGTGTGGAACAGAGGAACCGAAATGGATTTGGTTCTTGTCCCTTAAAATCAATGAAAGTGTTTCCCTTAGATTTTTGTGGAGGGAGCACTATTAAGCCCCTTGTCTATATTGAGTTATACACTGTACGAGCAGGAGGTTGAATTCTCAGTCCACTGATTCCAATACACACGGAGGAAGGTTGGCTGATGAGAGTCCTCACCTGCCCTAAGGTCTGTGCTAACCAGTCATACCCTAATAAGAATACAACAAGCACACACTGACCGCTGTAAGAGAAGAAACAGGCCATGGCTGGCTGGCTTGCGTGCTGAGGGAAGGGCCACTCAGTCACATGTCAGAAATCTTCAGCTGGAAGGAACATCACCTGTCATTTTAAGCCAAAATTCTTATTAATGGAAACAACATGATTTTTTTTTTTCCTCAACAAAATCTAATCTAAATAGAAGGACTTCTGTGTGCGGTTTCTTTAACCTTCCAGGGAGCAGTATTTCTCTTGACTTGGTTCATTGCCGATTTTTTTCCATTATCAGGAGTTTGGAGAAACAAGAAATGAAACCTGATACAACAAGTAGCAGAGTTAGTAACTTGGTTTCACTGGCCCAGGTCATGATTGCGTCCTTCTGATGGCACTTACAAAGAGTCTTGGCATAGAAGAGACCTGGTTTCTGCCCCAGCAAAGCACAAGGAATAGTTACCAAGAAGTAGGAAAATAAATGCAATTTCCAACATCCTTCCATTTACTTGTCAGAAAATGCTATGGGATAAGGTAGTGTTTAATATTTTTGAAAATAATTTGAGAGTCCCTTTAATTGAGGATTTTAATGGCGTAAAGAATACCCAGCATTAGAGAGAGAAAATATTCTCAAATATATATAATTTTAATGAAAGGAATTGGAATTATATAAATATCTGAGTGTGCAACTGGATCCTAAATTATACAAAGAACAAGTGAAAGTGACAGTTGTTTTATTTTTTATCGAGGTACATATAGGAAACAAATTTAAAAGCCCCCTCCCGAAAGAATTACTTAAATCCTGAAGATTGCTATTGCATTCAGCCAAAAGGTAGATGTTACATTTTATATTTCATTAGTGAAACCCAGGTTTTCTGTAGATAACTAAGTTCTTCTAGGAAGAATGTAGCAAAGTGTTCAGAAATACCTAGTTCTTTTATACATACAGTAATTTCCGGTAGTTAAGTATGTTTTTTCCAAAGCTTTTTTTAGTTGTGCAATAATTGTGTCTAGGGGTTCTATGGGTTTTTTGTTGGGTTTGGGTTTTGGGGTTTTTTTGAGGGAATTATGAGTGTTTTTTTAAAGATAATTTAATGCAGATTTCCTGTTGATGTCCAAAACACAAATTATTTATCTTGCGTAATGTAATATGTGAATTAGGGATTATTTTATTACTATGTATCAGTGAGTTATACACACTTTCTTATTTATATTTAAAGAGCATCTTTGTAAGTAATTGTTTGCTAGCAGTATGTTTTGCTGCAAGAAGTTAAAAATGCATATTGGAAGACCTGGTTTTGCTGGATAGTATGCAAAATTTCATAATATGGGCAGGCAAAAGTATTTTTTTAGCAGCTGAACGCAGTGAGTTTGCTATGGAGGACTGTGTAGACTACAAAGAGTGTAGATGACAACATTGGGACCTACAGAAGTCTGTCCTTCTCCATTGTTTTCCTCCTGTGTTTCTAACTATATGTTGCTGTTGGGAATGGTTTTAAAAATGCAAGGCTTGATTTGCTTTCCATCTTCTTAGTACAGTGCTTTTCCTTGAGATATAAAATAAGGTGGGTTAAGGGATAAAAGAGGGTGTAATGATACAGGCTCAGTTTGGAAGTTCATTGCATAGTTTAGTAGGGTTTTGCAGTGGCATAATTCAGTGCTATGCAGAGATACAAGCAAACTAGCTTGGAATAAGTAGTAGTGTAGCAGTAGATGCATTTTCCTCTGCTCAGACTAATAACACTCCTTCAGCTGAGCTCAGCTGATTCCGACACAGCCAAAGTGCTTCTGATATCTGAGCTACAGCTGCACAGAGCTGATGGAGCTGAGTCCTGATGCTACCTGCAGCAGCTTTGCCTCTTCAAGATGCTCCATTGGAGACCCGACGGAGGAGGCATTCCTCCACTCGTCCTTCTAAGTCTACTCCAAGAGCAGTGTGCATATGCCGTGGGGTTTGGGCTGCAGCAGCTTTGGGCAGAGAAAGTGCTGATGCCAGCCGGTGGCCATGGTGGCCTTTTGAAGTCAGAATCTGCTCCACTGAAGTTGCAAAGGGATGCAATGGAGAACCTGATTCTTTTGAAAAAACCATGGCTGATGTCCTTGAAGTACAGCTCCTAACAGAGTCTAAAATTGATACCTGAAGTCTGGTACGAGGTACGCCATGCATGGAGTGGCAAATTTTAGCTTGAAACAGTAAGAATATCATGTTTCTGCAACACCCTAAGAAACTATGAAAAGGAAGGGGGTGAAAGAGGAAAAGAGGGAATTATTACATTAATAATTTTGCAATGAGTTCAAAGGTAGCAGTAACATGTGCCATGGGCTGCCTGAATATTGGTTGTATGACAGTAAATCTGTACACAGGTTCATCTCAGTTAGATAAACTTTCTGTGATGCAACCATAACTAAACCAGTTCCACATTTCTCTCTCCAGTTTTGTTCCATTGTTTTTATGAAGATGCATGAAGGTGTACAGGTGCCAGACAAAGATACCCGACTTTGCTGAAGCCTTGAGCCTAGACTTTCTACAGGTCCAGGCTTTCTTTGATGTGTCTTTTTAGTGTTCTCTCAGAAATTCCAAACAGATTTCGGAGTTTACCTAATTGTTGCCTCGGACGAATTCTGTGCATTTGCTTTTTGCTGCCTGATGTACATGATCCTATCTTATCTCGGCACCCTGTTATCTGTCAGAAACAGTTTAAATCTTCATATGAAGAGAGCAACATGCGCAAAAACTGATTTGATGGAGAGAAAGGGGAGAAAAGACAGTAAGTTTTCACGAGCTTTTAAGAATGTGTTTCCAGAGCAACAGTTTAGAAATTGAACATTTCTGCAGAGCCCAAACCACTCCAGACCAGTAAATCTGACTTGGAGATTAGTAACAGATGAGTCACTTATGTGGCGTGCTGACAGAGGGCCAACTTCTGGCTGCACTACATGTTTACACCAAGATACATAAGAGAGTAGAATCCAACCCAAAATGTACTTTCCCATTACTGTGTGATTATAAAGAATGACTTACATGACCCATATATCCACTTAAGAAAATTATA